TGGGGGCCAGGGCTGGGGATCGCCCCACTCTGCCCATTGGTGGATTTGGGGGCATGAAGAGATGAAGGTCAGAGCAGCCACAGGGTGTCTCTAATAGGTGGTTAATCGTATGTTTGCTTCTGGCCATGGACACTCGTGGGAGAAGTTACTGCTCTCGGCCAACTGCTTGCTGCTCCCTGTCCTCCTCAGATGTCAAATGCTGGGTAAGCAAGTGGAAAAAAAAATAAATCTCAAATACTCATGATCACTCCTTAACTCTGATCTGCTGTGCTATGCTCCCAGTCTTTAGACCCGTTTCCTCCCTTATCCACCCCTCACCGTCCTAGAAGAGAAATAAAACCCAGAAAAAGCACTAACTGGGGAGGGGAGCTACCACAAGACTGGTACCACGGTGCACCTGTATGATGACACAGGACCAGAGGGATGAGGACAACACGGAGAGTGACTTCTGGCCTCTGCCGAGAGCAGGAGATGGTGCAGCTTGTTGCTGTCTAACAGCTTTCAGCGCGCCAAACGCAAAGGCAGGCCTACTTCAGCAAGAAGTGGAGCCGATTAAGTTTCTCTTTAACTATAACAAGGAAATGGCACGTGCAAGTGTCACTTCAGATGAGAAACACGTGGCAGTCACCAAGTGAAAGCTGTATCCTGTAAACCTTTCCACTACGTGAGGCTGAGCCTTGAATTCCTGCTGCAGCAGGGCCTGGGGGAGGAGAAGAAAAAGGATTTGAGCACAGCCCAAGCTGTGGTCCATGGGAACTTGTTTCAGGAGAGCTCAGGTCCCCATAAAGCGTGAGCCCTGACGAAGGGTTGGGGCAGAGTCTGGCGGGATGCGTGTGCATGCATGGCATTTACTGCACTAGCAGGCAGCTCCAGCAGCAATGCAGAGCGTCACATTCCAACGCATAAAGCATCAGTGCAGAGACCAGGCTGGAGCAGCGGACTGGCAAAACACATCCTTGCTGGGAAACGTGTCACTGCGGGTTGCAGCCAGAGCCCTTTGGTAGCTGGCTCGTAGCACCCGTGTGGACCCTTGTGATGGTGATTAAAAGCAGCTCAATGACTTTAAAAAGGGGAAAGTGGAGTTTACTTCCTCCTCAGCAGCATTTTGAGCTCCCAGCTGAGCGCAGAGGGCTGCATGTGCTGGTGATGTGTGGGATGTGCTCTATGAGGCTGTGACCTTTTAGGAAGGGCAAGAGGTAGTGGCATGACGGTAAGCACAGAGCACAAATTAAGCAAAAACTATTACAAGGGTGAACATCAGCCCCAGGACAGCGAGGCATTCCCGGACAGAGGGTTCTGCACTGTGGGGGGTGGCTGATGCTCTGATCCTGACACAATCCGGCCTCGCAGATGCAGAGTCCGCTCTCTCCTGTACACCTTGATCCTGCAAGAGGAACTATAGGGCTGGATTTTCAAAATCAGCCAGAACTAGTGGGATCCAGGCCTTATCTGAGATGGCAACAGATTTAGCCATGTGATTTCTTTTCCATGTTTACAGGGGCAATATTTTTCCAAAGCTCAAATTCTTTCTCTGCAGGAAGCATGTGACGTGCTTTGCAGTCACACCATGGGTTTGGTGCTACGGACAATTAAAAAAATCAATTTCTGGAGCAATATTTTCTATGTTTGTAATCTCAGAACTAATTACAGGACTGGAAAATCAATAGCTATCCGGAAATCTTTCCAATCCATGATGGAATATATTCTTCACAAACACATGATGCTCATGACCATCTCGCAGATCATACAGGCAGGTGATATCACCGCCAATAAGAGTCTGTACGTCGTTACACCACAATGGCAACATTTACCAAAATCTGCAAGGGGGATTGGGCAGAGCAAATATTATAGCACAGTATGTGAGATCTGGAGCAACATTCCTGCCAGCATTTTAAGCCAACAACAGAAAGAGTTAAAAGACTCGGTTAGTTCAACAGGACTCTTCAAAAAGATTATGAAATAAAGCCATTAAAAGTTCATGCCTCAGTTACAATGCTGCTTTTTCATCAGGCTTTATTAAAAAAAAAAAAAAAAAGTAAACCCTTAGGTCACTGAAAATTACCTCTTTCTCTAGTCCCCTAGCAAGAGAGAAGCAGTGTTAAATGGGTAGTTCTATGGCGATTACACTTCAAAAAGACACATAAAGAGGAAGGGTGTTGCTCTGATGAATATGACGCTGTACAAACATGCTGTGTTGACCATGGCAACTGGTTTGGAACCCAGGCCCAAACCCTTGTGCTGATGCTCGGCACCACTTCCCGTGCACCCCAGGCGTTGCTGGGATCTCACTGGGGATGCTGCTGCCTCACTTGTGCCCTGTGAGAGCTCAGCACGGCTCTTCCTTCCTACGGTGGAGTTTGTGCTGCTGCTAAATGAAGAGTAAATATTCCCATCGGACACGGTGCCAAAAGCACAGCAAGTGGATAAGAAGCAAAAGCCACAGTACAGGTGATTTTCCCCATGCTCCCGTTTGCACCACTGCTTCATACAACAGAGCGATGAATTCTGAGCTGTCACAACACTGAAAAATATTTGCTCTCATTTTGTATGTTTTTCTCTGATTATTCTTCATAGCCTTTTTTCCCCCCAGTGAATCCAGCAGAGGAAAAGTGGGATTGGGGTACATCTCTGCCCTCGCTCTCTCCCAAAGCTGGGGGATTCCTGCAGCTGCACCCACACCTCTCCGAGGTGGTGATCCTCATCCCTGAGCGGAGCTTCGGGTCTAGCAACCCACAAAGGTAAGGTGCAGAGCGTGCCTCGTTCCAGCCCTCAGCTCAGGGGACAGGCCACGATGTATAATCCCTCCTAAATGACAACTTAGCAGGTTAGTTATGCGCAAAGAATTCAAATTTTGGAGCTGGGCATGACCCGTGTAATGATCTGGATTGTAATTATTGTTATTATTAATCAGTTCGCATTTCTGTAGGACTCGCAGGTCCAGCTCAGGAGCTCCTGTGCACAGTACAGCACATGGGCACAGAGAAAGGAGGATATTTACGGGAACAGGACGGCCTCGCCTGTACCCAGAGCACACGCTCCCACGGTGTAGTTTAGCTAATCTGGGCTGTTTTCTGCCAAAAAGCAATAGTTACAAAAATATTGTGCTTATCATCATCCCAGTCAAAATTTCCCTTTTAGTTCCTAAGGCTGAAAAGACCTTGATGCTGAAATGACCTTGATGCTAACTCAGAGCTGCCAGGTGCCACGTACCGTTCAGACTCTGGGAACAGACTACAGCTGCTGCACTCTGCTTCGGCTTGTCTTCTCTTTGGATGATGCCGTCTTTGGACTTTTCCATGATTCTCCCCAGTGTAATGCCATATTTCATTCAAATAAAACCTGACTGGAGTGCAAGGAATCACTTCTGTTTCTCTATCTTAGGGAAGAGAGGCTGCGGTGTCTGTGCATCACCTAATGGAAAAGACCCGAGAAATAAAGCTCAGACCCTCCAGAAATCTTTCAAAGAGAAGATACAACTCCCCCTTATCTCTTTTAAAATTAACACATCACACTTTGTACGTGCTCAGCAGCAAAAACCATCGTTTCCCGATAACTCAGAGGTACAGTATCGCAGTGCTGTTGCTGGCCAGGTAGAGACGGTGAGAGCGGGACAAGCCGCGAGGGATCGCTGCCTCTTGGGATGCTTCCCCCCGGCTGCCAACAATCAGCACCTCGGGGACATCCCAAACCAGAGGTCTGGAGGGAAATTACTGGGTTTAACAGCCGCCAGAGCATGTCACCCACAAATTTGTCTCATCCTTCCTCCAACACAGTTACACTCTCAGCTCTGCAATGCCCTCCAGCAAGGGTTGCCACTGTTTAATCAGGAACTGTGCAACAGTTTGCTTTAAGCCTCATACCTCGTCCTTTCATTTACAGGATCCTTTGCTCTCATAATAATAAATGCAGCTTGCAGCGCTGAGCAGGATGGATTCTGACGCTCCAGTCTGCAAAACCAACAGGGTCTTACAGAGGTAGGATAACACAAAGTCTGGTAAAAACCCCAAGAGGGATGTTCAGAAGTGCAGTTCCCACTGCAAGCCAGCAGTAGCCACCACTCTTGAAAAATACTATCTTTATTCCTCATCTATTATATGTTTCCTATGAACGAATTTCTGCCTCAAATTAGAGTTATAATGAAACTCTAATAAAAATCTTCTTTAGGAAAAAAAAAAAATCCAGTTCTGTACTTCCTTCCCAGAGATTTGCTACTTGTTCTGCAACAGGAGTGGTGAAGCATGGGAGTATTTTTAACAGTGATATTAGGAAATGATCATTCAGGTACCAGAAATCTGTATTAAATAAATTGTTTATCCCTTTGTTAACCTAATCTTGTAAATACATGCGCACTTAACTATATTAAAAATGTAAATGTTCCCACAACAGGGCTTTACATGATGAATATACAGCAACTCCCTTTCTTTCCTAGTCAGCTCTGTGAATATTGGAAAAACGAGGATAGTTTCATTCGATGGGCATTAATAAGGTTTATGTCTGCACAGATTTAGCCCAAAGATTGTCATGATCATCTCAGGTCCCACGTGGCTTACAGGACTGAACTTGAAGAAACGTCTTTCAACAGCCGCTGGTGACGGAGCGATTCCAGCTCTGGGACTGCCTCCAGCCAACTGAATTCCCTTCTGTGGCACTAAATTTGCATTCATTAAAACCAGAGTTTTAATGATTTATGAAGATTTATAAAAAAACAGCAGCCCTGAGCTCCTGACACTCCCAAAGCTTCTGACAGAGGTACAACACATCATAAATCCATGCCGGTGTGAAATACTGAATGAAAATCACTGCAGGTATATCTGTAAGTGTTAACATGACCCACAAAAATCAGGGTTTCAGTCAAACGAAAATGATCAGAGCCTCCAAAACCCGAGGAGATAGTAACCCATAGGATAACAATCATATAATTATTATGTTAGTAATAATGCTACTAATACGATTAACACTCTCCTTGTCATTGTTTATTACCATCACTGCCCTGATAATTCTCAGCTCTAATGACGAATGGGGGGGCAGAGATGGCCCCGTCCTTTCAGAAACAACCTTTGTGCCCACCACCAAGCCCCAGTCAAGCATAAACCTTCTCCCCTTCAAATGTAAAAGACAAGCCACCAGCACCATCAGCCGCTAGCAGAGCTCTGTAGCCAGTCTGGCTGAGCTTGACAGGCGAGGGAGCAAAAGGAGATGGTCCTGAGATGAGAGACTAGCAGAGGTGAGGAAGATTTAGGGCAGGTGCTGTCAAGCAAAGCTGACGCGTGTCCCCGACAGTGCAGGGACAGGTCTGCGCCTCCCTGTCACCCTTCCCCACCTCCCTTGGTGGAGGTGTCTGTGGCTCACATCAGGACAAGGACTACACTCTGGTGAGTACTTTCCAAATTCTTCTGCAATTCATCTTTGCTCTTGCTCCCGTCACATCCTTCCCCTTCACAGGTTTGCAGGGCCAGGAGAGAAACCGAGCAAGGCACGACCTGAGTTGATGCCAAGCCCTCAGAACCCTCGCGCTCAGGTCCCCGCCACCCTGCCCCTGCTCCTCTTTGTGCTTATTTGGCTCTGCCCAAACCTTGCCCATTCTTTCCATCTCCTGCCTGCCCCAGATTTTGTTGCATCACACACACTTCATGCCTTTCTATAGCTTGGGTAAATTAATTCCAGCTTCTCCTATCCCTGAAACCAGCTACAAAAATCCTTTTGGATGAGCCCAGTCCTGGGAAGACACCAGGCTCTGGAGGAGCCTTCTGCTACTCACTCAGCAAGGTGTGCACTGGCTCACCCTGAGCCCCGCAGGCTTTAAATGGAATTTAAAACAAACTTGTACCTGGGACAGACTCCTTTTCATTTACAAGTGAATCAGCAGAAATAGCAAGACTGATTTGCCACACCAGTGCCCAGGATTTTTTAAAGATTTTTGTAGGAGACAGATTTCTTCCAGACCTCTGTCCTTCCTTGCCACGCCTTCTCCCTGGGACACGTCATCATAGTTACTACTAGCTCATGTAACTCCATAGGACACGCTCCATATCTTTACATCTCCCTCACCCAAGAGGTAACATATTTTGAGATGTTGTATGAAAAAAATCAACAAAAATTAAGTAAAATAATTACTCTGCACCTCTGAGGACAAGCTCACCAAAGGCAGGATGGACCAAAGCGTATGTGGAGAAGTGAGCAGAGCTGAGGAGCAGGGATGAATCACCCTGGAACTGGAGACAGGGTGAATGCAGAGGTTGAACAGGAAACGTGGGGGGGTTCCCCAGGTTGGATGCTTTTGACGCACTGCTTCACCTTTGACATCTGTTGTCCCTTCCACCCTGTTTATTTAAAATATAAATGGTTTGAAACAGGCCCTTACTCATCAGTGATTGTACAGCACCAGCCAAAACTAACACCAGTGCACAGGAAACGATTCATATATAATAAAGCAACATGAGTGTGTGTCCATGGAGCAAAAGCTTCCTGGCTTTCCTGACCACAGCATGTCACAAACAGCAGGCTCTCCCACATTTAATTTTCCTTTAAAAGTTTATTCAACAGCTCCCAGTCTAGCCCAGTTAGTGAAAGCAAAAACCACAAGAAGCTCATCCACCTCTCACTCCATGGGGCTCAGCAAGGATGGGACAAAGAAGCAACACATTTCTGCTCCATCCTGGAGCCACTGCTTCAGAGGATGAGGAGGGTGAGGAGGAGGAAGTGATGCAAACGGCGCATTGCTGCAGCCTGGGATGAGCCTTGGCAAGCTGCAGGCTCTGCTTCTGCCTTGGCTCCTGCCCCGGCTCTCGGTGACCTGCAGGTCCCTGAGCTGCAGCAGCGGCCGTGGAAAGGTCCAGCACAGCCGCCTCCACACGGGTACCGCAGGGTTCAGCGTGGCAGCTGGACATCAAGACCTCTTTGCCCTCCACACTGCCTTTTGCAGCATTAGCTGGGCTTTTCCATTACCCAGGTTATCCCTTGCACGCTGGATAATGGAGGACTGATTGCACTTTCAAGTGCCTGAATTATTTATCTCTGAACTTGCAGAAACAGGCCAAATTCCCAAGTGATGTGAAACAGCTCTTGTAAGAAATGCAAAGGGGGCTGCAAGAGCAGCACTGGTAAGCATGCAAGAGCTGCATGGTTAGACCCTCACACACGCACATGTCACATCTGCCCAGGAGATTTCTGTCCTGCAGGGTGCGGAGGGCTCAGGTGCAGGTGCTTGAGCCGGGGACTCATCTGTGTAACCGCACAAAGGGCCCCCTCTGTGCCTATAAACCAACCACCACGACAGCAGGTCCCCAAGCAGCGGGGCAAAAAGGCCCAGACAAATGAATTCATGCAAATCACAGGGGTTCGGTGCCTTCCCACAGCTTTTTCTGCCCAGCTCCTTCAGCTCCAGAGACGAGCTGCGTGGCCTCTGCAATCATTAACCCGGCCGTGCCCAGCCCGATAGTGCCCGGCGCTATATTGCACCCATAAAGATAACGCTGCGATAGCTGTGTTTCTGCCCCGGAGAAAATAATACCCATGGAGCTGCTCTTGTACTTTTTCTGCCTTTTACGCCGGGTCAGCTCGTTGCAACAGCTGGAAGGAAAGATTAAATTCCGGCCGTTGCCGTCTCTGCCACCACAGTCACGGATGCGGTTCCTTCCAGCACCGTTTCCCCTCCATCAGGTGCATGGATGGATCCCAAAATTTCCCCCTGAGCAGCCCGGGGGTGCGGGGTGGTTGGGGGTACCCCGAGCAGGGGGTAGG